CCTGGTCAAGCTTCGCACCTGACTGTTATTTCTAAACGAGTCCAGAAGGTTGTCGAGAAGATTATCTATGAATCAATCGTCTTTGCATGGCGGGAAGGCTACGGCCTACCCAACGACCAGACTGTGGTCTTCAATGTATCCCAATTCGTATATACCATCCACGCTCGGCCTGCGGAGTTTTGGACATCTCATGTACGGAATGTCTTCAGCCCACCTTACGTTCCTGAAGTCAAGCTACTACTCGCACGATGCAGTCGGCTCGTGAATGTAACGTGGCAATGGAAGCATATCGACGATAAAGGAGCTCTTCTCCTCTTGCCCTCCGCGGCGTCGCTTTCCTCGCTGTCTATCACACGAAGTGGCTTCATAGAAGTTGCCTCGTTGGGACTCACCTTCATCAATCTCAAATATGTGGACCTGTCTGAGGCAGAACTGTCCAAAGTTCGTCTACCTCCTCTATCTTGGGCCCCTGCGTTGCTAGCTTTACGGATTGTGGTACCAGCTGCATGTATTACATTTCACGAGAATGGGGTTCAGATGGTAATGGAGGACATCCAAAGCCTTGCGGTAGCCCCTCCTACACAACTGGACGCATTCGAGTTGACATTAGTTCTTGATGAGGACTGTCGGAAAGCAATAGGCCCCAAAATTGAAACCCTCGACATTCCCTTTGAGATTTATTTTGAAAGTAGAGACGTGCGCTCATACTACTTTTACTTGGCGGTCAAATGGGTGTGGCGCTTTTGGCGCCCTTGGGACTCTTAGTAAGTAATCACAACACATGCCATGTCTTTCCGTTATCCGCGAACTGTCAAAATTCTTCCCTTCTTACGCTCTTCCTGAATACAATCGTAAGGTCTTCGATGCTCGACGTCCTCCTCTCCTATATGGCGCTTCAAGGAACCCTCCACTTCATACCATGTCTTTTGTCTCCAGACGGGTCAACAGATGTCTCAGATTTGCCTCCGCGGAAGCTGATCGTACTCCATGATCGTGGCGCCTTGCCATTTTCAACAACATGATCGTGGTGTTTCCTTCAGTTCTCCCTCACTCACGGCTACATTCCCCAAATATTCCGAATTCCTGTGAGATGGACCTCGATGCAAGGCTATGCTATGGGCGCTATAGCCAAGTGGTTACGGCGACAGATTAGAATATTCCTCAACTCCGAAGGTCACTTTCATCTGTTCCTCTTTGAGGGCGCAGGTTCAAATCCTGCTGGCGTCGCTTGCCAACCCCTCTGGGTCTTTCTTTTGCTGAATTTGATGGCATCGCAATTGTCTGAGCTTCCGGAATCCGCCTTGTCTGCCCCAGACAGCAAAGGGCACTACAGCCAAGGGGTTACGGCGACGGATTTGAATGCGAGGTACTTATATGAAGTCCCATTTTCTCGAGTGTCCAATTACCTCTGTTCCTCTTTCAGTCAACGTTCAGATTTGCAAATTCTTCTGCCGTCGCTGCAGCATTCAGTGGACCTTCGAACGTTAACTCACCTACTCCTCCGGACCATTTTTTCCAGCAACTCGAGCCACCTTCCGATCACAATACGTTCAAACTGTGACTTGATCGATCTACATAACCTTTAGACATGATATCATTGTGGTCATTTGTCCTTCTCAAGCTCTTAACCATACCAAACTCTCCCGAGAGTCGATGATATCCAAGAACAAATGCATCTCGGAAGGCATCTCGCGCTCTCTCCACCTCCCCTCGCATGATATTTTCAACGCTTTCTGCTTACTTACAGGCGCTATAGCCAAGTGGTTACGGCGACAGATTAGAATTCGCATTCGAGTCTCCTTTCATCTGTTCCTCTTTGAGGGCGCAGGTTCAAATCCTGCTGGCGTCGCTGAGGTAGTGTTCTATATATCTTTTTGGTTTTCTTCACATATCGAAGCAAAGTCCGAGTATTGGAGCTTCTCTTCATAACTCGCTCCAACAGGATTCGTTCCTCGCACCGAATTACAAGTTGATCCCTTGCCGGTTGATGCACATGTTTCACATCGTTAATAATATTGGTTTCAACCCGCCATCCCCATCCCGATCGGATAACAACAACGAACACGACGCGCGTCTTTTCCCCATCTTTTTCCGGATTTTCAACTCAAATTGCCTCGACTCAAACGTAACTCCTTACATACACAAATGTAACCATGCAATATATAGGCGCTATAGCCAAGTGGTTACGGCGACAGATTAGAAATCTGTTCCTCTTTGAGGGCGCAGGTTCAAATCCTGCTGG